GGGGCTATATACCTGGATGGTTCGTGCACGCGACATGTGATCAAGGACTTGTCCAGATCTGGTTGGGGCGCGGCCATGGTCGGTGAAACGGGGCAGGTCCTTGCTCGCATGTATGGGGCCCTTGGCAGTTATTTCCCCCAGACGAGCGTCGCGGCTGAATTCGCAGCCCCTACATCAGCGGCCAGCGTGCTCAGCGGCCCAGCCGAGTTTTTCCAGTGATTGCCAAGCGGCTGTGAACCAGCACGGCAAGAGCCGTGATGAGAGGTTGTCTTTGTCGCCCATACAGTGGCCTAGTCACGTAGTGCGATTGTTTCGCTGGCCGTTTGGTGCGCGCCGTCACGAAGGTGAAGGCGCACCAGGAGGACAATGCAGACCTGCCAGCAGCCGAGCGCGCCCACATCATTGGCAACAACGCCGCTGACGAGGCGGCCAAGGCTGGAGCGCACCTGCACCCTGATTTCTGTGACGAGGTTCGTGACGGCTACTCTTTTTGATAAAAGTATCGCGGGCTGTCACCAAACTAGCTGCTAAAGTTTTGTGTTCGTGGCCTCGCACCGACCTGTCAGGAGTCGAGCGCACACATGCTGCTGCTCGGCCTCCGAGGCCAACGGGGCCCGCCCATGAGTGGGTTTGGGTGGGAAGCTGCTGGCAGTGCACCCACTGCCTGAGAGTCTCTCGCAGCAACTCGAAGCCCTCCGCTGGCGGTTGCAGTAGAGCGTTGAAGGTGGACCCTTCGTCGCCCCGCCAGTTGGAACATCGCTGTGTTGTGATAGATCTCTCGGACGGCAGCTTTGCGTGCGTCTGCCAGACCTGCCATTGTTTTACCTCGGGCGTGCAGCTTCGAGGACTCGCCAAGCAATGCCTTGAACACCCTCCGAAGCGCAGCGAAGTTTGGTCAAGATTGGGCCGTGGACTTCACCCTGATCACCAGAAGAAGGGAGTCCACGCCGACCTCGAGACGATCTTGCCGATCGGTGGGTCGTCGTCGACAACGGCCAATGCGGTCGTCGGCGTGTCTGCTGAGGCTGGTCCAGCTGCCTGTGCTCTGCCTCGCCATTCCGAAGGGGGGGGAGTGGGGGGTGAGCGGCTTGGGTCGGGAAGGAGACTGGACTCTATCGTCCCGCCTCCGCTTTTCGCGGACGGCCTCGATTTTGATGCAGAAGAGGAGGCCTCTCTGTTTCTCAACGCGGAGGCCGCGAGCTCCTCCGCCTGTAGGGCGGGAGCCGAGCCCGCCGCCCCCTCGATTGAGAGAGGGACTCTGCGTTCTGGAGCCCGCTCGCTCGCCATGAGCCAGGCAACGTCATCCCCCGCGGTGGAGAAGGGTGAAGAGTCTGGCTCTGACTAATCGAGTCACTGGCCTTACTTGTGTCTGGCATGAGCGGTTTTCGTTCTTGCCGACCTCTCTTTTGCCCTGTCACTGGGGTCTTTGATCGCGGATGTCACAAAATCCCCCTCCTCCTCCTCCTCCTCCTCCTCCTCCTCCTCCTCCTTCTCCTCCTCCTTTTCCTCCTCCTCCTCCTCCTCCTCCTCCTCCTCCTCCTCCTCCTCCTCCTCCTACACGTCCTCCTCCTCCTACACGTCCTCCTCCTCCTCCTCCTCGCGCGTCGGGTGCGGGCGACGCGGACGTCGGCCGCGCCACCTTTCCTGCCCTCCCGGAGGCCGGCGGAATACGCCGCGTGCGCCACGGCGGCCAGGGAGGCGCAGGCGCCAGCGACCGCCAGGAGGATGGCGGGCGGGGAGGCGGCGGACCTCGAGGGCGGGGAGCACACCGCGGGTTCGTGTCGCGACTCGGCGGCGAGCCCCCGGGGGAAAAGTGGGAAGGAGAAGGCCTTCTCGGAGGGCTCGAACACACCGGGCCTTCCCCGAAGACAGGGAGAAGCTCTCGGACGCCGCGAGGGCTTCTGAGAAGGCCCGCCGCCTTCTGAGAAGGCCTTCTCCTTCTCAGTTCCCCCCCTCGCTCGCCGCCGAGTGACGACCCCCGGCGTTTGTGTCTGACACCGCGGGGATCGTTCAGCCTTGAAAGATCGGCCGTTACCGAAACGTCGGATCGTTCAGCATCGACCAATTCTGGGTCGCCGGCGGCGTTCAACGTGCGTCGACCGGCGGCGGAGTCGCCGCCTGTCGACGCGACACGAACCTCCCGATCCAGACCTCCAACGTAATCCCACCAGCCCTTTGGGCTAAAGCGGTCTCACGACTTCTGTCTCTCCTCTTCCAAACCTCTTCCATTTGGAGAGGGGTACCCTTCCCCTCCCCTCCCTGAGATTTTTTGGGCGGGTGGGGGTCGCGAGGGTGAGAGCGTCCAAGATGCTCCAAGATGGCTCCGAGAGGGCGTCCGACGCTCCAAGATGGCCTCCAACAAGGCGTGAAGCATACCCAGGACTCCAGCGTAGCTTGTTATCCGTTTTCGGCCGCTGGGGGCCCTCACTGGGCCTAGGGACCGTCCCCAGAGGCCTCCCAGATGGGTTCGGAGTAGATGGGGTGGGAGGATCGCGCCGCATCGTCGATGCATCGGCGATGCATCGGCGACGCCGTCGTGGAAAAAAACGGGCTCCACATCGAGCCGCATCGCCGATGCCCCAACGACGTGGCGCGGTCCTCCGACCCCGACCCCATGCAGGAGGCCGAGAGTCCCGCAACGACGTGGAACGAAAACCCGACCCCGGGGACAGGGTCGGGACGTGGGGAGAGGCCGCATTGAAGAAATCACGGCGTCGGATCTCTCGGGTGTGCATGCTCGGGAGCGGCCGAGGTGGGGGTGTCCAAGAGGGGGGGGTGCAGATCAGGGCCGGCGGCACGTGCGCGGCCCGGCGGGGGGGCCAGGGACGTAAAGGAATAAGAAGAGGCGCCATGAAATCGGGGGCAGAAGGTTCGAGGGTCCGGGGTCCAAGGAGACTTTCGGGGTGAACCGAGAAACCCCGGGCTGCCACCCACGAGCTGCCATCGGGAGCCTTGAGACGAGGAGGAGGAGGAGGAGGAGGAGGAGGAGGAGGACGAGGACGAGGAGGAGGAGGAGGACGAGGAGGACGCCATGATATCCACCCCCCCCCTGCTCACCACCCCCCTCCTTGCCGCCCCCGACGTACGCACGGCCTCGCGGCCTGGGCTCCGAGGCCGCGACCACGCGGACGCGGCGCTGCCCCGCGCGCACGGGCAGCGCCCGAGGTTCGGAGCCCGAGAGCTCCCGCGGCAGCCGCAGGGGCCCCCCCTGCGGGGGGGGGGGCGCCCGAGAGCCCCAGCGCCCAAAGGTTTTTGTTTTTTTCCAACGCCATTTTGGGAGAAGGAGGAGGAAAGCAGAGGGGAACGAATCGCGAGTGAACTGCCGAGCATAACCCCAGCGCCCAAAGGGTGGGCGTCTTTTCTTACCCGGCGTGTCGGCATCGGGCCGAGAGCGGGGGGGGGGCGAGGCGGCGGGGTCCGGCTCCGGACAGCTGCCCCGCGCGGCTGCCGAGAGCCGTGCACCCTCCTGGGGGAGACCCGCCGCCCGCTCGAGACGGGCGCCAGAGACAGCCAAGAGCTGCTCCGCAGGGGGGGGGGGCAGGGGGGGGGCAGGTAGGGAGCCCACAAAGGACGTACGCGCCCAGCTATGTGCATGAACACGGCCCCTCGATCCGTGCGACCGGCCGCGTTATGCGAACAGTTGCGCAATGTGAACTCTCGAAACCAGCGTGGATTCATGTACATCTACGTCCTTTTTCCGCTCCTGAGCAGAAAGGGAGTGGGGGCCCGCGCCGATCGGCAGAGCAATGAACAAGAAGACGATCACCTGAGGCTCAGAATTCGAAGCACGTCCGCAGCCGAAGGGCCCCCCGCGGGGGTGCCCCCGATCGCCCCGGCGCCGACAGGAGCCGGAGCCGCGGAGGCAGGGCTGCGTGCACGCGGCCGCAGAGCGGATGCCCCGCCCGAGGCGCGCCCCTGGGCCACGGGGTCGCGCCTCTCGGCATCCGGCCGCGAGGGCAAACTGGTGCAGACTGACGGTGACGTGCGCGAAAACGGCTGCGCCGCTGCCGCGTGATCATCGGCCTGTGGGGCAGCGCGGGCGGGAAGGACGTGCTCGAACCGCACATCATACATGGGACTCTCTTGGAGTCACCTTGTACGGCACTCGGGGCAGGGGCACCAGCCTTGGACGAGGCATCTTCCGAGGTGGCCAGGCTGCTCTCTTAGAGGCGGTGCGAAAAGCGGAAACTGTAGTTTCTTGCGCTCCATCCTACAACAATTGCAGCAGGGGCCCGGCCACAAGAACTCCCCCCCCAAGAAACCCGACCCTGAGACCCCGGAACGTCCCTCGATTTCTTGGCGTGGGAGCGCCGCGCTCTCCGTCGCGAAACCCTGGAAGCCCGAGAAGCCAAGGGGCACCCTGGAGGCAAAGAGGGCGCGCTTCTCGGCGTGGGTCTCCGCTGCATTGGACGATGCTCGTCGCCCGCGGCGACCGCTGCGATGGCAGGCCCAGGCCGCCTCCCGCGGCGGCTGCCGACAGGGACGGCGGGCCCAGGTCGGGCGTGGCGGAGTCCCCGTGCCTGGACCACGTGGTGTAGCCCACGTCGCGGCTCTCCTGGGCGGATCGCACGGCGAGCGTGTTTGCTGCTCCCTCCTCCTCCTCCTCCTCCTCCTCCTCCTCCTCCTCCTCCTCCTCCTCCCCATCCTCCTCCTCCTCCTCGTTACCCTGGGGGGGGAGGCGAAGGGGGGGGTCACGGTATCGGGAGGGGGCGGCAGGATTCGCGGCAGCGGCGCCCGCACAAGTTTGGATGCACATCATCGACGACGGCCAAAGCCACGACGACGACGACGAGGTAAACGACGACGAGGACAAGGGCGAGGACGACAACAGAGGACGAGGACGAGAACGAGGACAATGACGGCGACAACGAGGACGACGACGACAGAGGACGACGATGACAACGTCGTCTGAGAGCGAGCCTCCGAAGCCCCCGGAGGATGCCGGCAGTCTTCCTGGAGGCGTTCGGCGGTCCGGCCCAGTATCATAATAGCCTGCGGGCGACAGAGCGTGCCTATGACCACCGCAGTGACCCTGCGAGCACAACGTGCCTGCGAGTTCCGCAGTGACAGTTTGCCCGGCCACAGGCTTACATCAGTGTACCAAGGATGCGGGGAACAAGCAGAGTGGGCATCAGGCCTGCGCAACCATAAGCTCAAGCCGCACCGCGGAACTCCCCAGCTCGGACACAATGTAAGGATGCAAGACCCCTAGGACTTCTGCGCCAGAACGACCTGCGGCGGCATCAGGCCAATCAACTCCGAGACCTTGCCTTACCGCCGCAAAGCCGGGGCGCAACAGCAGCCTTCATGAACCATGGCGATACCGCTCTCTGGACTACTCCAGGGACATCATTTTCGCCGTGTTCGACCTCCTCCTCCATCCTCTTGCCTGTCCTTGAGGAGGAGGAGGAGGAGGAGGAGGAGGAGGAGGAAAAGGAACATCAGGAGGATTAGCAAGAGGAGGAGCAAGAGGAGGAGGAGGAGGGGGAGGAGGAGGAGGAAGCCCCTGTCCTCAGTATCCTCACCCATCTGCCCGCATCTGTAGTTGCGTGCACCGCCGCCCTCCCCCCCCACACTCCCGAGGCTTCCTCCTGGGGGGTTCACGCCTCCGTGGTTCTCTCGGGGACGCCGAAAATGATCAGCGCGGCCTCCAAAATGGCCCAGGCAAGCCACGTCAACGTTTTTTGATTCGGCGTTTGGACATTGGGCGGATAGGAGGGGGGAGGGGGGGGGGGCTCCAAACCTCTGCTTAGCGCGGCTGTTTGGAACCGTGCGTCCATTATGGGATAGAGACTCCACCTGCTTGAAAACAAGCTCCAAAAAACAGCAAAAATCCACTTCATTGGGAGGGGAAAAGGGGGGTGCGAGGGCCCGCGCCGATCAGCAAAACAATGACAAAAAAAAACCATACCACCACCAAGGCCACCAAAATGGCTTCAGATACCCCTCGGGCTGCCCAGGATGGCCTCCAGACGGACCACGAAACCTCCAGGGCGGCCCAAAAGGGCTTCTCATCGGAACCTCAGCAGGACCAACGAGGCAAAATCATGAATGTCCTGCGTTTGACAAATGTTCGCGTTCTCGCATCCGTGGGATTCCGTCGGCTCAAGACTATCACAGCGGTCCCCAAGATGGTGCCCAGGCAGCTTGAAAGGGGTTGGGAGGCCCAACCAGCAGCTTCGCCTCAGGCGAAGCCCAGCTCCAGCTCTGTTGCACCGTAGTAGCGATAGCCCCAGTAGTAGGAGGCGAGCCATCTCAAGAAATTGAGGTATCGATTGCAAACAGTACACCTCGCACTGAGGTGTAGTCAGATCTTGGCGGCCGGCCGCTTTGAGCCAAGCGGCCGCGGGCGCACGCTCGTTCCCACTCACCTGTATCCTCAGCTCACTTTAGACTCGGAGGGGAGGGAGACGAAGCGTGAGCCCCCCACCTCTATACAGCAGGTACAGCAGTTATGATGTAAAAAAGGAAGCAAAAGGCGGGGCCGCAAGGAAGGTGGACACGCGCGCAAGTTGCCTCGCCTGCACTTGTCTGTGCAGACGAGTACTCCTCAGGCGGCTGCAGACCGAGATGTCTGGCCAGCCAGATAAGGAGCATGACGCTTTGAAACATGTTCGATGCAGCGTACCTCCCATGACCTGTAGGATCACTTATTTGTTGATGTGTTTTTTTGTGTGACCGTTCGTGGTTATATCGCGGGTGTCACACTATTGAGTACTGTGCACGGTTTCTCGCTCCATCATCTGTCGTATCCAGCTGATGTGTCCTAAACAGGTACATCCCGTCGGTTTCTTCAAGTCCTTGCTCGACAAGGACTTTAAAACGGACTCGGCATCTATGGTCAAAGTAAAGCGCCCTTGATGCTCAGGCCACCCAACTCAAGTATGTCTTTCAACTTTGTGGGAGTTAGCGGCCCTGCATGGAGCTCGCGCAGAGACCCGATCGTGGGATAGCAGTCCTCCAAGTTGTGGGATGCTGCTAATGTCTCTGCTGATTAGCTCGAGCGGACCTGCAAGCGGTGAGACTTGCAGTGCGCACCGACCAATTGAACGACAGGCTTGCCAGATGGCGCGCTTCCACGCCGAAGTAGCTTTGCCCCGCGAGTTCCATAACCCGTGGCTCGCCATCGGCATCTCCACTCAGGCGTCGATAACCTGCGTCGCTGTGCAGGTCAACTTCGCCCGTGGGAGTCATCGCTTGGTAGGCGATCTTCTCAGGCAGGCCTGCACTTTCCTGGCAATCGCGTTCAGTCGTCGCACTTGCATGCTGGTCGGTTCTTGGACGCGTTGTAGAGGCAACAGATACCATCAACCACGCCTGGGTGATTAATGCATATGCCAATGCGCCTCTGAGGCTGACGAACATGTCTGCAACCCCTGGGATGCATGGGCGCCAGCGCCGGCGCCTGTAAGTTCAGGATGCTGTATAGGACGGAGCTGTTTGATGTATTCGTCTTGGTCCACTGTAACACTGCCGTCCTCATCCTTGGTATATCTCACAGCACAATTGGCGCACGTGTACTCGTTGGGTCTACACTTACCAAAGGTGACATCCTTGCGCTTGACGCACTTGTCATTGGTGCCCTCTGCGCCGGCCATATTGATGTCATCGACGTGTCTGGCTGTGAGCAGGCCGCTGCTCGTCTCGAAATCCTCGTCGTAGGACGTGGTGGATCTGAGACCGAAGCCTCTCGCGGCCCCCCTGAGCGCCAGTGAGAAAGCTCGAGGCGCGTCCTTGGCGCCAGCACCTGGCCCGAGGCACTGCAAGCAGTGCTTCGACTCGTCGTAGTGCTCGAATCCTGGGAGAGTCCGAAGCACCGCAGCCGACCCAGGCGGCAGAGTAAAGCACACCACACGCTCAACCCACCAGATGCCTCAGAAAGTTCCTGGTAGGTCAACCCTTTCGGGAAAGCCATGTTGATGTCGAGGGGAGCACTGATCCATTGCGTCTTGCACGCTGCCGCGCTTGCGAGCAATCTATGGCTTGACCGCCGCGCTGTTCCTGAGAAGGCTTCCACGTCGAAGGCTTCAAGGTCCATGGTGCCTCTTAGCACCAGGCGTAATCTGATGGCAAGTCCCATCTCGCCCTTCCCGTTCTTCGCGAACTTCCATCTGCGCACACACCTCGAGGTCATGATGTTTGACGCTTTAGATATATCTCACAGTTGGAAACACTTGTTGTCCAACCATGTCTTGAGTTCAGTACATAGGGCGTTCCATACCTTTTCGGGGTTCGCCTGGATGCCACCCTTCGCGAAGAGGTCGTCTTCCTTGACGATCACAGCTCGCTTTGCAGCGGCGGCAATATATACTCGCACGGTGGTAACATGGGCGGCATCGAAAATCCTATGCCGCTGTCCGAATAGGACGACCTTTGGCTTTTCTGCCGTAAAGTAGAATTCTACAAATTGTCAGTTGTCGTATGAGTCCAGCCCGCAACTGCAATTTTCGACCGTGGAGCACAGTGGGACATGATACGTCCCCGATGGCGGAGTCGCGTGGGTGCCCCAACTCAAGCAGGTGCCCCCGCTGTTCTCCAGCGACGATGATCAGCACACTGCTGTCTGGAAAAATTTGTGTGGGCACTGTGAAAATGTCTTCTAGCGGAGCCAGTAACCCCGTTCATCACGTAGTTCTCTAAAAAAGCGCTTCCATAATGTACCTCGAGGTCCGCCTCCGATTCCTCATATCGTGGGAAGCCGCCCATCCTCCGGAAGTGGTTCGGCTTCTGGGGCTTCTCTTGCGGTTCCGTCCTGTGTCGGTATACCCCTCAATTCTTCAAACTTTGTCACGTCCTGGGCAAAGCCCGCTTGAGGTTTGGTGGACTTCAGGTACTGGACGATTCTTGAATGTGCTGATCCAGTTATATCATGAATGTTAAGAGCGGTGCCTTCTGCTTCATCGTAGTAAATCCTGGATTCGCATCGTTGTCATAGTGGACCAACGTGCACCTGCCCGCGTAGGCCACAGGAAATAGCTCGTGGACACTCTCGGCTAACCTAACAGATACTACATTCTCGATGCGGAAGAAGGTTCTGATAATGTATTGTACAGCCAGATGTACCTTAGGAGACTGTCGGCTTCCACGCGTCATCTGGAACGTCCCTTTCGTGGTCGGGACGTCAGCCAGCGGCCACGAACGTCAACGCTGTCCGTAATGCAGTGTTGTCGGAGCCAATTTCTGTGGCTATCCAAGCTTCAATGTAAAGCGAATGTCGTGCATCGCCGTTTTGTACCTGAACGTCGCAGTTTCCCACTCGAACGATGACTCGACCCCTGTCGGGATCATTTCTTGCGACCTGGAACGGGCCTTTCCAGCCTCCCCTGTCGTCCTTCGTGGTTGTGGGGCGATGGTAATCAACTAGATCTACTTCATCGTAGTAGTGCTGACCGGTGATAGTTGTCTTAGTGCGTACTGCGCGATTGGTCTTGGCTAGTTGCTGCAATGGCCTGTGTGATACCTTCAACGCATACCTTGCGTATTACCTGTTCTCGAGAATGGTCCGACGTTTCCGTCGGCTGCTCGTGATCCAGGATAGGCAAGTCAGGAAGCATT